AAAAAAAAAAAAAAAAAGAAGGCTGGGTATTTGTGCCATCACATCTGAGACACCTATTTTAACCACATGGTGCTCTCTGTCAAGTGTTAGCATCCCACAAACATTCTCTCAAGCCCAGGATGTTTGCTGAGGGCAAGGCAGGGAGTTCTTGGAGCAGACTTCAGAAGCCCAAGGAGGTTGAAAACTCTTCCTGTTTAAAGTACAACTGCTGCTATAAAAGGCACGACAACTTTCAGCTGGAAGTCTGCCCCGACTGGTGGGAGGCAAGAGAAAAGACACATGCCCTTGAAATGCCACCTTCAAGCAGGAAAGATCACTGTGTGCTGTGGAAACGCATCGTATAAACACAAGTCACCTAATGGTTGAAATACTAGCAACGGAAGATCAAAAGTACAAAGGAGACAAGCTGCCCCTTGTAGCTCATTTTCCCAGAGCTTATCTTTGGGGCTGCCTGGGTTTGGAGGTGGGAATTGACCAGTCTACAAGGAATTCACTCCAGGTCCCCCAGTCCAAGGGCACTTACCTTGCACTGCCCAGACACGCAGATGGCTGTGCCGTTCTGGTCACAAGGGGTGCCATCAATGACCTTCTCAGCTTGCCGGACATAGAAGCGGTAGCCCATGGCCTGGCAGTTCAATTCGCACTTCCGATTGCCCTTTACTAATGAAAAAAATCAATCAGCATCTTTTTTCTTCCTTTATTTTTCTACTGAGATACAATTCACACAACATAAAATTAGCATCTTAACCAAAGCATACATCTCAGTGGCTTTGAGAATATGCAGTGTTGTACAATCTTTACCACTAACTAATTCTGTTACAGGGCAACCTGATGTGAACTGGGTTGCCTATCTGTGGGTCCTCACCCGCACATGCTTAAAATTCAATTATACTGCAGGCACACACAAAAACGGTCAATAGTAGGTTTATTTACAAAGGGGAGAGGAAAAGGAACAATCCAGGGAAAGAGAGAGAAAGAGAGAGAGACATACAAGTTAACTAGAGCATCCTACCAGTTCCGCTGACTTCGAACTCCAATAACACACTGAAAGCTCATCAAGAGCCTAATGACTAGCCATCAGCCACGTGATCCAGAGAGAGTGCACATCTAACATGGTTCCCTTATGTAGCTCCAAAAGTCCCAGAATCCCTGCTTAGCTCTGCCCTTGGGTCCTCACAATTCTCCCTGTGGTATTGCTGGGAGTTGTAGTTTCAATAACTGGAGTAGGGGATGAATCCAGAAAATTGGAGTAAGGGGTGGA